TAAGCCTCGAAGTACGTACCCGGTGAGAAATGATTCGTCATCGTTTCGACATCGTTTCGACATCGGTCTACATCGATCGACGAGTCATTTCTCGCTGGGGTATCGCGAATAATGCTTTTCCTAAAGACTAAAGGAATTAACTCGAACGAACTTGACCTCGAGAAAAGTAAAATGTCACCGTGAGACGCGGACTCGAAAGCGAAGGATCGTTAGGAGTCGCTTTTCGCGAGTCACCGCGCTCGTCCGGAGACTTTGATCGAGCGAACTGGCAAACATTTCTCGGTGTTTCGCGGCAACGCGTGAGAAGTCGAATAAATTGAGCTGACTCTTACGTTCGTCCGCGCGTACGCACACGTCGCGTCTCACGACGGAGGTTGCGCGGTCTTAGCTAACGAGGCGAGAAGCCCGTTTTCGTCAGCTCGACCTGTCGCAACGACCTCGTCTCATTACCGCGGAAACCGTATACATTTCCTTGTCGCGCTTACACAATTAGGACTTTCCCGAATGTAATCGTATTTGCCGCGCGGCAATCGCATAACCGAGTAGTAATCAATGAGTACGCGGCGCGTATTACGGCCGGGGTGCGAAAATAAACGGCGGAAAACCCGACGCGGCCTGACCCAATTCAAAGAAACGTCCATTTATATTGTAACTTTTGTCCGCCATCTGGCGTCGCGCGCGCATGACGCAGATGTTAATTTTACGTTAATATAGTGTAATCCATTGAAAGATTACGCAAGAAGGGCCCCCGAAAAACGGGGCACGCAAGAGGTCGACCGGATTTCACGTGCTATCGCGTGGCCAAGTATTTTTAGCAGCTGTACGTTTTCATATCGCTGTCCTTATCAGATCGGGCCTCGCGAGGTTTTCGCGCGGACATTCTAGCTTCTTCGGATCCGCAGCCCCCTTCTTTTCCCGTCTTTCGTAAGTGCACGACGGCCTGGGACTCGCAAGAGCAACGTACGCGCCAATTCTGCTCTTACAGAAGAGCTGCGAGTCGATTGGCTGTTCGCGCGCCTTGGCTCTTATCCAGTGAGACACGATTGGCTGAAAAGACGTCGATAGATATCAAATCGACGTATCTGACGCCGATTTGACATCTTTGCAACCATCATTTCTCACTGGGTAGCCAATCAACTGGCAACCTTTCTGTAAGAGAACGTGATAAAGAGTATCGTAAGTATACAGGGTAGGCCATTTTAATCTACGCACTGAAATCTCTCAAAATCCATAAGTTTAAGACAAAAATGTTTCAGACAAAAGTTGTATGGTTTCGAGGGGGCCATAATAGGGTACCATTGGCTTGATCTTGAAGAGTTATATGAAGGTTACATTTAATTTTTTAAATGGAACACCCTGTTTTTGCATATTCTTGTAGCTTACCTCGAGAGCTTTCCAAAATACTGTAATAAAATCTCTTTTTATCAAGAACTTTTTGATTGTAAAGTTTGATGGTTCCAATATTTTGACATAAATTGTAAAATATCTCATAAAAAATTCATTTTTTGATTATCCTTTCTTAATAGTTTTATGCACAGAATAATGTCGGCTGTTGTGGGTGCAGTTCCGATCCGCGCAATCCGACCGCGCAACCTCCACGTGGTATACCTTGGGTAATACTAAATGCCGGCGGGGTACTGTTACTTTCAAGCTTTGTAACTCAAAAAGTACTTTACGAAAAAACATTTTATTACAGTGTTTTGGAAAGCTCTCGAGGTAAGCTACAAGAATATGCAAAAATATATAGGGTGTTCCATTTAAAAAATTAAACGTGACCTTCAAATAACTTAAACCAATGGTACCCTATTATGGCCCCCTCGAAACCACGCAACTTTTGTCTGAAACATTTTTGTCTTAAACTTATGGATTTTGAGAGATTTCAGTGTGTACATTAAAATGGTCTACCCTGTATAAGTAAGTTTAGTACATTTGCTAAAAGCCACGCGATAGCCAATCAGCCTGCAACTTTTCTGTAAGTTTCTCTTGCGAATATATTGAAGAATCCAGCCCCTAGGCCGTATCCGGTACACGCGCGTTAATTAACGCGTAATTTAAACAGCTGTACGATGAAACGCCTCCCGGGGGCTCTGATAAGAAATTAAATTAGGTGGCCAGGAATTGATGATTTACTCGTGGCTTGCCAGAGTCACGAGTGAACCATCAATTCCCGCGGCTGATAAAAGTAACGGTGGGTGACGCGCGCGCGCGCGATGCCCGGCGAGCAATCATTAAGCGAAATCTCCATTTATCGTCGCTCTTTTTTATCCACTCTGAAGTGGAGCGAGAAATCTTCAGCCCTGTATCAATTTGCCTAATTGATTTCGCCGTCGACGGCGATACTTTTTATCACGTTTTGCATTCGCAAATAGCGCCTTATATAATACGTGTAACGCTCGTGCGACCTTCGGGCAAGGCCTTCGGGCAGCGTGTCGTTAGTAAACTGAGAATAGGATCCCACATCGGCTAGAGTTCGAAAGAAAACCTTGCGCTATAAATGTACACGCGAGACAGCGTCGCGTCGTAGTTTTTGCTCGGCGGAAAAGAAGCAGCGCGACGAAATAAAGAATCGCGTTGCGAGAGACGTTCGCGGATTCCTACATAAATGGACGAAAAGGTGGAGAGGGAGAGGTAGCCGGGATAGCCGGAAACGTCTCGGCGAGAGTACACGTGAATCAGACTAGCGAATGAATCACCCGGCCGTGAGTTTCGGCTCGCCTCCTCGGTCCAATCCGATCGCGCGGGAAAACGCCGTGTTTGACCGGCTGTTACGTCACCTCCCTCCGAAACGCGCGAGATAACGCGGCAAATTGACTCGCGCTTTTATCGCGATACCAACACGCGATGTTTTTACGAATCGCCGGAGATGTGCTCGAGATTCCCTTATCGGCGGTGCCTCTCGTCGAATGGGACGTATCATATTTTTCCACTGTGCCGAGATTGCGGAGCGATCTCGATAGCTGATTCTCAGATCGGCGGCGAGTCAACAATTCGTCTAATAACAGATATCGGCCTTGTCCGTGTGTTGACACAGATTTCGGCGCGAGATAGCGAACGCGATGCGACCCAGTTGAAGACGAGAGATAGAAAAAAAAATGATGCCGCGGAACACGGCACGTATGCACTCGTTAAGATGCTCGGAATAAACAAACGATGTAGCGTACATAACGTTACGATGATGAATCGAACTGGAGTACCTACACGAATATTTTCGAATCGATTAAATTTCCGAGCTCTTGGCATCCACCCGCAAAATATGCAGAGTGTATATGTACAGGTGGGCCACAAATCACCATACATTGATGAACTTTATTGATATTAGTAAGTAGGCTACATAATTGTAAAAATGTTTTCCAAATTGTTTTCCTTTCTTCTTTAATAAACATTGCTTTGCTAAGGAAGAAAGGAAAACAAGAGTAAAAATAATAATGATAAATAGGCTACAAAGGAGAAATACAAAAATATTAATAATTAAAACGAAAGAAAATAAGGGCAAGAAGGTGATAATTAATAAATAAGATATAAAGTATGTATATTAAAGGGGTGAAAATAAAAGGTCCTTATCATAAATATACAATAAACCCGGGAAAAAATTTTCACATATGATCATATATAATCATATATGCTCATATACGAAAAATGTCCATATATAAGATACCATATGTATCATATATGATCGTATATGATAATGTATTTGTCATATACATATACTGTCATATATGACAAACACATTATCATGTACGATCATATATGATACATATGGTATCTTATATATGGACATTTTTCGTATATGAGCATATATGATTATACATATACGATCATATGTGAAAATTTTTTCCCGGGAAGTTATTGTATAGTTATGATACCATCTCTTTCAGGGTTGGGAGGTAACTCGTTATTTGTAACGAAGTTACAGTTACTTTTTTTTTGGTAACTCTCCCCCACGGAAAAATATATATTTCAAAAAGTAGGTGAAAATATATGGTAATATATACGTCTACGACAATTCTTTGTACGTTGACTTCCGACATCGATTTGTTACACTGTTACAGAATCGTAAACACTTACGACAATTTTTCTGCTCAGGCCCTTATTCTACAACGGACGCAAAACACAAGACGCTAAGCCACAATACGAGAAATCGGCTAATGACGGTCGCTCATTCTTCTCATATTTGACTGTGACTGGCCGATTTCTCGCGTTGCGGTTTAGCGTCTTGCGTTTTGCGTTTGTAGAATAAGGGCCTGAGCAGAATGGCTGTCTTGTATTCTTAAGTCACAAGGTAGTTATTGTGCGTTACTTTAAGACCCGGTCTACAACGAGTTGTTAGTCGTTAGTCAAAAGTCAGAACTATATGTCGGTCCTTTTCCTCTCATCGAGAAAGAAAAAGGACCTACATAAAGTTTTGACTCCCGACTAACGACTAACAACTCATTGTAGACCGGGTCTAATTGTAAGACAAAGATTTGAAACACAAAACATTGTCTCAAGGGTGCAAGACAGCCATTCTGCTGAGGTCCTAAGTTTTAGGAAAAATCGGTAAACGTCGGGCATCATGTCGGCGGGTGTTGTGTGAAATCGCGTCATCGGCCGCGGGCCGCGGACCGCCTCGGGCGCGCTCGGCCGGCGTCGGGCTACCACGTGCCGGGCAACCACGTGACCGCGCGCCGAGCTGTTATGGCTCCCGCACACAGGACGCGACAAGCGCGTTGCGCGCAGCGGCGGGAATTGCCACAACGGCCAACCGACGTCTCGCTCGCCCGGGAATAATATCTACATAACCGTCGATTGGCTCCCTCGCCGGCCTCCGTCGCGCGACAAACATCGTCCCGTGCGCGAGAGCCATTGGACGTGCGACGTATGCGATCGTTATGTCGTTTCCGTGTCCGATAACGCGATCCGCCGCGTCTGTATAAAGAAACATGGGGCACAGTGGACCAACGCAGTGACCACCTGGACCGTTCCCGTCTTGACCGTGACGGCAGCGACGTGCGCACTGCGAATCCGCGTGCGAGCAACATGGAGGCGGAATGCGACTCGTACGTATATCGTATACTACGTTTCCGCCGTGTCATCGCCCGTCGCGGGAGTGGATTCAATCCTCTCGACCCTCGTCGTCGTCGTCGTCGTCGCTAGACCGGAGCGATCTCTTCCCTCGGCGTTTACCGCCGGCCGCGCACTGGCGAGTTCCTTTCCAAGTCACGTCGGTCTCGGGCCGCGTGAGAGCGAGCGTTCGCGGCGATTTCCCAAGCGGCGCGGGCCGGAATGCTCGCGCGAATAGGTCGCGCTGATCGAATTGCGAAACCGGGAATCGCTCTCTCGCTCGCCCGCGGCCCGGCGGCGTCACGCTCCTCCCGTTCGCCTGCTCGCTGAGCCGAGCTCGAGTTTTCCCTCCTCTGATCCGACCTGGCCGGATTTTGAGGTTATGCGTGCGGTCGGCTATCCGCGCTCCGTTAGGATTGCGTTGACCTTTGGACTGTTTGATAACAGTACTCGCGTGACACGTAACGATGGGTTGGGCCGACGGACTTTGCTACGAGAGGCCTCGCGCGCCTAGCAGGTCGAAATAATTGAGGGTCTCCTTCTACCGTTGATCGATTAAACCCTTACAGCAACATCGGTCAACTACTATTAAGACCGCCAGAGAGAAACCTTCAATTATTTTCATCTGCTACGCGTTCCATTTTCATGAGAAAAATGATGATTCGTCGCGCGTAGCTTAGCCGCGTGCTGTTTGTTGACGGACGTGACGCGTCTTTATTTCGCCGGAGAGCGGGCAGTTCTTCGTAGAAAACACACGAGCGCTTAAGCAGGTTTCTAGGTTGCCCGACTTGCATGTGGATTTTAATGGCACGCTGTTTACGTTTGTATTGTTCGTAATTATGCTAAGCACGTGGCCGGCGGTTTCGCGCGAGCGACGCGGGAAGTGTGGGCTCCTCTTAAAAATACGCGCGGCTCTCTTTTTGCATTCTTTACATAACGGTTTCCGCGAAATCAGCGTTTAACTTTCCCGCGGATTATTTATAGATCCGCCGGCGATTCGGACAACGCGCGCCGTATCGCGCTTCCAAAACTGACAATGAGTCGAAATTGCCCGCGGTCCGAGCAATTTTTTTAAAAAACTTTTTATCGTTTCCCGGTTTTCTGGACGCTAAACGCGTTTCCGTTTAAATGCTCTGTCACGTCACGGAATCTGCGGTTAAGTTTCTCGAAATTGTGACGCGATAGAACGGTTTGGTATTGGCGGGATCGTATTCAGTGTTCACAAAACTGTGGAGAAGTAATGGGATGCTGGAGTGATTCTGCACTTTTGCCACTTTTTGCTCCTAGAACTGTCAATTCGTGAAAACATTTGTATAATATACAAATTATGTGGCTTTTGTGTACGAATCGACAGTGTTCCACTATTCGGACTGAATCAGAGAACAACGTGGTATCATTGAAATTAAGTTTAAAAGCCTAACAAAAATCTATAGGTTAGGTAACCTATAACTTATTCGAGTGAACAGACTTCTTGTTAAGCTCCTAAACGTAATTTCAATTGTGTACACTGTCGATCTGTACACAAAAGCCACACAATTCGTATATTACACAAATTAAATGGCACGTGTACAGATGATCGAAAGCAGCTTGCTATTCCTTCTAAATTAAAGAACAATATGACATCACTGAAACTAAGTTTGTAAGTCTAATAAAAAATAATAGTGAGCAACACACATACTACATGTACTGTATGTATATGTTGCTCACTATTATTTCTTATTAGACTTACAAACTTAGTTTCAGTGATGCCATATTGTTCTTTCATTTGGCCGGAATAGCGAGCTGCTTTCGATCTGTACACGTAAGCCATTTAATTTGTATATTACACAAATGTTTCCGCGAACTGACAGTTTTTAGGTTAGAAAAGTGCCAAAAGTGCAGAATTACTCCAGTTTTATTGCTCCCGGAGCGTTTAACCTGGAGATACTAGGAACACATTTTCGCCCGAAAATCTGGGTTAAGTTCTAGTTACAATATTCTTTTTAATTTTACGATAAAATTAAAATATTTATAGGTACACTTACGCATTATTATCGTCAAAGAATGCTTTGTTCTACAATAAACACGCACATATAGCCTGATTGTAACCTTACAAAGCTTTTTGTCTAGTAACCTCAAACAAAACTCGTGACGTCATTAATCGCTCCCGGAGCGATTAATCCTGGTCCACTCGAAAATGCTATTAGATGTCTGCGTCGCTCCGAAATTTCGGAGCAGGGAGCTTCCGAAACTCCGTTCCTGCTCCAGTCTGTTTCTCGATGACGTAACTGGAGTAGAACGAGGTTCAAGGTACCATCTAACTTTTTCTCCGTAGTTGTGATATCATTGCTCGTCGTATCGCATTCACGGTAAACAAAACGCGCCGTTATCGGCACTGTTTGCAGGCCCCTAAATTTCGAGCCGCTCGCACCGTGTTTTTTGTTTCTCAATGCCGACGTTTTACGTAATGCTTAAGCGCCGATGCGTCCCGTTCTTTTCGCCGATAAACAATGCTGTTATTTGTCCGCCTGCACGTCGCGTGATAAGAGTACGATTGTAACGTCGTTAAAACTTATAAGATTGTTGCGACGTGAAGCAAATCAGCGTCGAGTCGAGGAAAAAAAGGACGTAATCTTTTTGCTCGCCGCGATTAGATAACCACGTCGATTTTTCCTCTTTAGTTAGAAGGATGACGTAACACCTCGCGTACAACATAATACATCGTTACATTTCGAAAAGTAATTCGTGGAACGGTCCATTATCGCGTTGTCGATTCCAGCTGTGTAATTCTGTTCGCGCGCGTTGGTTTACTTTTGCCGTAGTTGGTATCAAACGCGTCTGCTGAATATTGCGACACCAATTTTATTTACGCAGTCCATCAGACGGAACGAGATAGTAATCGACGACTGTGTACTTTTGCAACTGTTGTGTCTGGAGTGCTTTAAAGGCCGAATCGGGCCAGCAATTGCCGACTCGGATTGGACTGGCATTGGCGATTGACGATTGTCTTCCAGCCAATGAGAGCCGATCACTGGCTGCTTCGCTCTCATTGGTTAAAGGACAATCGCCAATCGCTAATCCCCGTTCAATCCGAGTCGACAATTGTCTGATTCGGCCTTTACCTCGTGAGCGCGGAATTGTCGTGTCGAAACTCTCGTGTTGTAAACAGAGGAAAGTCCGACGGCGGTGTTCTCCGCCAGCAGAAGACACCGATCGTACTGTCCGATCGGCGATGCTTTCACTGCTTTCGTCACCAGAACACACCGTTTCGTCCAATGTCAAGTGGCAGCTCTCGGTTTCTTTCTTTCCCTTCGCACGTTCGATCTTACTTCAACTCGCAATAGAGATAAAAATAATTAATAGCGTATTTTCATTGGCAGAACTGGTGCACACTGTGCGTACACTACACACAGAAAAATATATACTACCTGCAAGTAAATATTATTTGTTCCAAGTATTTGATAAGTTTATATATCCGCAAATCTATCATAATGTCGTCGCAAGTGTTACATTTACTCAAAACATATTCTTGTTCTTAGTAAGTCTTAGTAATTCTTAGTGATTCTAGTACTTGTTCTAGTAAAACTAGGTTCTTAGTAATTCTAGTACTTGAAACAAGAATACATAGAATTATTTGAAGCAAAACAATTTTGTTTCTTCTGATTTTATTAAAAGAAGCATACGGAATTCTTCAATAAGTTTTATAATTTTCTTTAAAGAAGAATAAATTCTTTTTTTGAGTATAAGATGGCAAGCTTTTCTAAGACTAGTAACAAGTATATCTTAAAACTATTATTAAGAAAATATTCTTTGTTGAAACAAACTATTACTTATACGGAATAAAATAAACTGAGTAAGTACTTTTCTTGACTGTACAATAATATTTTTCTGTGTGTACGGCTCGTTTACAGTCAATTCTTATATTCAAGGGACAACATAAATATCTCTTAAAATATTCGCTACAAGCTTGTTCATAGTCAGTTCTAATATTTAAGATCGTCTTAAATACACATTCAAACACTAACCAAAAAATGATACGCACGGATGCCGTATAGATCATTTTACTGGCAAACAAGTATTTTACAAAATATTTAAGACGATTCTTAAATACATATAAGAATTGACTATGCACAAGTCTTAGTGTGCGCTCAGTGCTCACTAGTTCTGCCCGTAAAAAATTTTGATAAGTAATTTATGCATAAACGCTTCTCTCGTTTGCACGCAGTATTTTTATTCACATCAAGGAAAATTGAAGTCATACTATTTAACGTTGCGCAGACACACATCGTTGCATACACATGACTTTACCTCCCCCTCTCTCTTTCTCTCACGTTTTCTCGCTTCTCCTTCTCGCTGGTTGTCACTGCCAGGTTAAATATAATTTTCGAGTAGACATTAAAAGTGACGCGCGATCCTGCGTGGCTAAATTAGTATACGCGCGGAATTTAGGGAAGCTTTAAACCGCGGCAGCGGCGGCCACGGGGTTGCAGAGAGGGTTAAGTATAGTACACGTTGCCGCGCGTGTATCTCGTTAGCGCGCTCCAAGTTTCCTGCGCCGTCACGCGTTTCGTCTCTCGAGCGGATATACAGTAGAACAAGAATTGTGTCAGTCAAGTCGAGGCGCGAGTCGTCCAATGACACGGCTTAAAATACGAACCGAATACGTATACGCGAGGCCGCACGAAACCACTCCCCCCCCCCTCCTCTCTCTCTCT